CGCGGAATTTGCTTCACTTGAAACACTTTCGCAAGATGAGTGCACACCTTCTCTACCTCCTCCTCTAAAGCCCCTGCCACCAAGATGTCGTCCACGTATAGCACCAAGAATACCTTCTCCTTTCCTTCTCCCTTCCAGTAGAATGCCCTATCGCACTCGCTTTTCTGAAATCCCCCTTGCAGTAGCCACTCATCCATCGCCATATACAACTCCCTAGGACTCTGCTTCAGCCCATATAGTGCCTTGTTGAGCTTGTATTTTCTGTCCGAGCCGTCGTCATGCCCTGGTGGTTGCTCGAGGTAGATGTCCTTCTTCAGCGCCCCATACAAGAAAGCATTTTTTATGTCCAGCTGCACCATGAAGTATTTCCTTGCTGCTACCACCTTGAGAAAGACCCGTGTCTTTGTCAACTTGCTCATAGGAGCATAGATTTCATTCTGGTTGTAGTCTTTCCCCTCCACCTGAGTGTAGCCCTTGGCTAAAAGCCTTGCTTTGAACCTTTCCAGCTGCCCTATATCTCCGGTCTTGATCTTAAAAATCCACTTCACCCCCACGGCTTTCCTCCCTTCTGGCATAGGTACGAGCTCCCATGTGCCCCTTTCAGCCAATGTGTTCAACTCCTCCTCTATTGCCGCTTTCCACAGCTCCCTTTCTGGACCCTCTAGCGCCTCCTCAATGCTCATTGGTTCTTTGGGCAGGTTGTGACTCACTTTCCCTTCGTTGGAGACTAGGTCAGTGGCTGTGGCAGATAGTAGAAAGTGGATATGGATGTCCTTCCAGCACGTCATTAGTAGTTGCGCATAGCGAGGGTTTGCTTTCTTCACCCTCTTTCCTCTCCCCAACTCCTCTGCAGGTGACTCAGCCTCATCTCCACTGAAACCCTCCAATGCCTTCTCATTTTCATCTCTAGATTTCACTTCCCTTCCGATGATGACGGCACCTTCTTTTAACAGGTCCTTCAGCTGCTGATTCTTCATCTCCCTCTTCTCCAGCCACTTCATTGTTGCCACCCTCAGCTACTTCCTTGCTTGGCTGCTCTCCTGCTATCTCCACTTCCTTGCTTTCATCCGCTTCCCTGGCTGGTGCCTTCTCCCACACCCAGTTAACCAAATCTGCCCGATCGATCTCATCTATCTCCTCATCCCCTTCATCACCAACTCCCTCACTCTCCTTTTCCTCCAAAAGGTCTTCCACTTTGTCCAGTGCAGATGTTGTTCCCACTGCTGCAATTTCCTTGTTAACTCCCTTCCACTGCAGGTAGTTCACCTCCTCGTAAAAGACAACATCCCGGCTGATTGTTACCTTCCCTAAAACCACATCCTTGATCACCCACCCCTTGCTTACCGGGCAGGTACCAAGGTTAATCCACCATTGAGTCCTTGGCAGCAACTTGTGATCCGGACCGGCTGGCTCCCTGTATTGCACCATACTCCCCCACACCCGTGCAAACCCCAGATTCGGCTTTCTGCCTGAATTCCCTTGGTAGTTAGGCAGTTCTTGGACCAGCAAGCCATTGCCAATGCATCACCCCATAATTTCAGCGGCAGCCCACTGTCGGCAAGCATGATCCTCATACTATCTAGTAGAGACCGATTCACCTGCTCTGCTATGCTGTTATGCTGTGGAGTGTAGGGTACAGTCAGCTGCCGTCGGATGCCTTAATCTGTAGAAACTTGTTGAATAGCTCACCAATAAACTCCCCTCCATTATCTGTTCTTAATACTTTCAGCACCTTCCCACTTTGCCTTTCCACTTCTGCCATCCAAGTCACAAAGCTAGGGAACACTTCTGCCTTATCTTTCAGCTCCGTCACCCATGTGTGCCTCGACCCCAAATCAGTGAATGTAACGAAGTAGCGGCTGCCGTGACGTGACGCCACCCTCATAGGCCCACACACATCAGCAGCTACGATGTCCAAGGTGCCATACGGCTCATGTACTTGGTGGTGGGGGTGAGGGGACTTTGTGATTTTACCTTCAACACACTTGCTGCATTTTCCCTTGCTTTCAGGCCCCTCCTTCAGCGCCACACCTTTTACCATGCCCTTTTTAACCAACCGCTTGATCCTGTCCATGCTTGCATGCCCCATGCGCCTCTGCAAGGTCTCTAATTCCACTTTCTCCACCCCAACCACCATGGCAGTTGCTTCCTGCTAGAGCTCCTTCACAGGTATGTCTCCAAGCCGAGCCTTCAACTCCTCCCTAGCTAGGTCCCCTTCAAGTGGAGTCATGTAGGTGGCATTCTCTGCTTCCAGCCCCTTCTTCCTCAGCTTCATTTCATACAACCCCTGATTTCTGTTCCCTTCTGCAACTACCTTCCAATCCTCATAAAAAACCCATAATTTCCCTTTCTCGCTGAAGGTCTTGCACCCCATGGTGTCAAGTTGCGATTGGCTGATCAGATTCAGTGACAGCTTCTCCACTAAAAGCACATTCTCCAGTTTCAGCTCCCCGTACTCTCCCTGGAGCAGCAACTCTCCTTCCCCCTTCACACTCCTTCATCGCCCAAAAGAATGTAGGGTACGCTAGACTCCCTCAATCCGGTCAGCCACTCACGATGATTGGTCATATGTTGCGTGCAGCCACTATCCATGAACCAAGCAGCTTCACCAAACCCTTTGGCCATCAAGCACACTCCTGATGCCCTTGCCACGTTAGCCTTGTGTGATCCCTCCAAAATGACATCCGCTACGCTGTTTTCAGCTTCCACAGCATTTGCCTTTGCCGCTGCTGGTTTGCTTTGCTGCTGGTTTGCCCCTTGGTAGTTCCTGCTGTGGGGGTTCGAGTAGCAGTTGGCTGCCCTATGCCCAATTTTCTGGCAATAGTGACATGCCCCTAAAAATCCGCTTCTCTGCATCTTGTTGTTGCCTCGAACCTCCCCCTTTTCTCTGCTGCCCTCCATTTTGCAGGCCCCTTTGCTGCGGACCGCTCCACTTCCCCTTGTAATTTCTGCTCCTCGGGTTGTCATAGCAGTCTACCAGGTTATGACCCTTCTTCCCACACTGAAAACACGCCTCGAAACCTCCGTATCCTTTCCCTGTCGCTGCTGCGTTTACCATAGCATGGGTGGTTGGTCCCAAACTAATCTCCTTTCTGAGCCAATCAGCTTTCACCTGCTCCAAAGCTTGGAGCGTCTCCAACAGCTTGGTCATATTCGCGGGTGGGTTGCAGGTTAGGAGCCCTATCTCTGTTTCCCACTCCTTGGGCAGCCCAGTAATGATGTACCCCATCATTTCTCCTTCAGTTTCAGCTGCCCCCATAGCCTTGAGGTCGTCATTGTGCCCCTTCGCTCGATTCATGTAGTCAATGACCCTCTCCTCCAGCTTCATATTCAATAGTAGGAGTTTCTTTCGAATGGCGGCTTTGTTTGTATCCGTAAGCCCAAGGTAAGCAGCTTCCATGTACTCCTAGGCTCGTTCGGCAAAGTTCTCCTCTCCCGCAAATTGATCCAGCCCCACTGCAATGCTGTCCGAAACTGAGTGGCACAATTGAAAAAAGGCTTGCTTACTCGCTTTTTTGTATGACGCATTTTCTTCTGGATTTTCTTTTGCAGATGGTGGGACGCCCTCTCCCGTCTCCTTGTCAGGATGATAATATGGCCAGAGATCGACTTCCTCCGCTCTATGAATGAAATTGAGTCGCCACGTGCTATAATTTTCTCCATGGAACCGTTGGGCCTCGCTAAGCCCTATCGTTGGCTTCGCCGTCAATTTAGCTTGTGCTAGCACTGTTAGGATGGCCTGTAGTTCTGAGCCTCCAATGCTCACAGAGGAGCCCGAACTCGCCTCAGTATGATCGCGCGTCATACTTATTAATTCCGTCTATCCTTAAAATGCTATAACACGCCTTAAACCAGCTCTGATACCAGCTCTTGGACGTGCGCAGCCTTTGGTTTAGACTATGAAGACTATTTGAAGTATTAGTAACAAGCATATGAAGCTCTGGCCTCAACTGTGTGAAAGAATTTGCTGGAAAACGCCAAGGCAGAAAGTTCAAGTAATTTCATTGAAGAAGGCATACAAAACAGAAAGTACAAAGACAAGTTATAAGCAAAATGATTTCTGATTTCGACCTCGCACCGCGCCTAATTTCGAGCAGAGTTGTACTTGGCTCAATTTCCAAATCCAACCATGCACTGAACGCGCCTCGAGTTTAAATTTCAAACTTCCTTGGACGCGCCTTTGACTCGGCGTGACTTCTCTTCACGTCGCTTGAAATCTTGACATTTCAGCCGTGTCCTTCTCCACGTCTGCACGCTTCTTCTTCACTTCGTTTCTCACCATAGGTTCCCCCGCCGCCACGTTCCTTCTTCCACCGCCCCAACATAAGTAGCTTATCTTCTTCTTAGGTCCTCGCCTTCCCGTATTCTCATCTCGTCAAGGTGGGTCTTTCTTAGGTCGATGTAGGTTGCTCCAGGTTGCGCTAGCTCGTGGTTAGCTAACCACCTTCAACAGAAAGTAGATCTCAGAACCATACTATGAGCACAACAGAAAATGACATGACCATACACGGTATTGCAGCACTGCAATACGACCCCTCTAGACTAGGTCCGTCAATGTAACCACCACGCCAACTGCTGCTACAACGCCCTTCCTTTTACATGATCCCCAATACTACGACTCAAGAGGACCGCAACCGTGAGGTGGGCGCCCCACCAACCGCCCAGCCTCTGCATGGGCCCACAGCCAACTGATCAGTTGGATGTGGGCCCAAGCAAGAGAAACTCCCCTCACGAGGCATGGGCGGCGGTGGCAGCGCGGCGAGCGAGGAACATGAGTGACGGGTGGGCCACCTCCGCGTGCCTGCTGCCTCACCCCTGGCCCTCCCCCACGCCTCGCTTGCCTGTCTGTGCACGCTGCAGCAGGGGCACAGGTGGCGGCCTGGCAAGGCCCTTTGTGCTGCCGTGAGGGGTGGTGGTGGTGGGGTGGAGAGGCACCAGAAGCTGCCATGCGTGTGGCGGGCCTGTGGAGGGTTGTGCCTGCTGGGCTGCTAGCAATGGGCTTATGGGTGCCGGTGTGGGACGGGCATGCGTGGCATGTGTGGCATGTGCACGTTCGGGCTGAACAGTGGGATTAGCAGGAGAAGGTGAGACAGGAAGAGGGGTGAGTGCAGAAGGTGCCGCGTTGGGTGCAGCAGAGGGTGCAACGAGGGCAGAGCATATGGGAGCGCACTCCTTGACACGTCCACAACTGGCGCTGGCTGCCCAACGCCTCCACCTCCCACTGTGCTGTTCTGCACACTCTCCCCTGACCATGCCTGCGAACCATTCACTGCTGCTGCTGCTCCCAGTGACTGCTGTTCTGTGCTTCCCGCACTCCCACCCGCACTCACAACAGCTGACTCCCCCCCCCTGCACCCACCCCCCCTCCCGCGTCCGTAGCCGCCACCGCAACTGCCACCTGTTCCGCTACAACCCGTGCGCCCATCGCACTGCCTATAGCAGCAGCACTGACATGAGTGGCAACAGAAGTACTGGCAGCAGCCACACCGCGAATAGAACCAGCACAAGCACCAGCAGTACCTACAGCAGAGGCGGTATATCTGACAGCACCAGCACCAGTACCAGCATCATCAGCAGCAGCCCTGCCAGCATTGGCATCACTCGCAATGCCTTTTGCACCGCGCCCCTTCCCACTCGCTGCTACCCTCATCCCCCCTCTCCCTGCACCCAACCCATCCCTCCAACCCACCATCGCCCCCTTTCTTCTAAGCCCTCTGCCTACCTCTCTCCCCCTCTCATTCCTCCCGTCGTTCCCACCCGCCCTCCAGTCCCTCCCCTTCGACCCGTCCCTCTCGCCCTCGCTGCTGTGCTCATAAGGGGGTGACGAGGTGAAAGGCACCCAAGAGGCAGAAGAGGCCAATGAGGCATGTGACGCCCCTGAGGCGGCATGTGAGGTGGCATCCAGCGACATCACATCAGCCGACATGCGTCCAATGATGCTCGCCACCTCCTCCACTCCCGCCCTCACTCGCCCCGCCTCCTCCCCCCCACCCACTCGCCCCCCCCGCATCCCACAGCCTTCCCGCTTCCGTCCCTCCCACTGCTCCATAGTCCAGGCTCCCCCCACCTGCTCCTCCCATCTGTGCCATCCCCCAGCCATTGCTGCCTCCTGTGCCCGTTCCATCCCGCCTTTCTCACACCCCTCTTCCACTGCCTCACCTCCCCAAATAACCCCTGCACCTGCACCTTCTGACCCCTCTGGTCCAATCACGTATGCCTCCTCTTCTTTCCGCCTGCCCACACTCTTGCCTTCCACCCCTTCATCCCCTCCCCACACACTCCGCTTCCCCTTGTCCTCCCCGACCCCCCTTTCGTTCCAGTCATGAATAACCCCCTCCCCGCCGTCCCCTCCCTCACCATCCTCAGCCTGTCGCTGTGGACTCTGGTGCTGCTGGGGGTGGTGACGCTGGAGGTGTGGGCTCTGGGGGTGCCGGGTCTGGGGGTGCTGACTCTGGAGGTGTTGGTTTTGAGGGAGCTGGTTCTGGAGGTGTTGAATCTGGTGGTACTGACTTTGGGGGTGCTGAGTGTCCTAGTGGTAGTGGAGTTGAAGGTGCTCCTACTGGAGTTTCTATGGGTGCACTGCCACCTTCGCCATGGCACCCCTTGTACTGGTAGCAGCAGCGGTCATCGCTGCCACTTCCCGAGTCCATCCCTGGAGGTTCTGGGGGTGCTGAAGCTAGGGGTGCTGAAGCTGGAGATGCTGGAGCTGGCGATACTGGAGGTACTGCCGCTGGAGGTGCTGGAGCTGGAGGCACTGGTGCTGGAGGTACTGTCATTGAAGGTACTGGAGATACCAAAGCTGGAGGTACAGGAGCTGGGGGTACTAGAGCTGGCGGTACTGGAGCTGGAGGTATTGGAGCTGGAGGTACCAAAGCTGGAGGTACTAGAGCTGGAGGTACTGGAGGTGCTGGGGGTGCTGCGCAGCCACTGCTGTGGCGACCGTTCTTCTGGTACCAACCACACTCGTCGCTGCCACCACCTGGCTCGGCGCTTCGACAGGTTCTCAGTCTTCCGTCTTCCACTGGTACTACTCCTCCTCTACTGTGTCCACTGATTAACTCGTCTCAGACACAGTTACCGCTTGACTCGCCACTGCCTATTCCTTCTAGTATCACTGAGTGGGCAGGCTCCCCGACTGAGCGTTGAGAGTCTGCGTCCTGTCCTGCCACATCTGTTGCTCGTCGTGTTCGTTCTCCACCTGTCCCAAACACTCACACAATGGCACTTTGTCCTTCTTCTGTTGCACAGCGTCTTGTCGTGCCGTCTCCTTCAGAGTCCTCTCTTCTCGACGTTCCTTACCCTGGGTCTGCCCTTGCTCATGCTGCTAGTCCGACTGTCACTTGTTGTCCGTCCACACTTGTCACTGACCCTACGTGTGAGTCTGCTGCTGCGTCTGCCTTAGTAACCGAGCTCGTTGACTTTGCTACCGCCTGTTGTCTCGACTACTTCGCGAGTCTTGTCTCTGAGTCTGCCTCTCCACCGTCCGTCGGGGGTGAGACTGCCATTGGTTGTGACGTCCTTGAGGATAGGCAGTTTGAGCTGGATTGACTCACGGCTGCTGTACCTCATCTCGCTGCCATGCTACTTGCCCCTGAGGGAGACCCGGATGCACTGGACATCCCGACCCTTTGCTCTTACGCAAAGTCGATTACGGGTCAGTACTCCTTTTAGTGGTAGACACCCATGGACGAAGTGATGGCATCATGGAAGTCCACAGGCACCTACGTTGACGCAGTTCTCCCTCCTGGGGCGAACATAGTCGATGGCATGTGGATTTTCCGTGTGAAGCGGCCGCCGGGTTCTCCGCCTGCCTTCAAGGCGTGTTACGTTGCACGAGGCTTTAGTCAGCGACAGAGGGGCGACTTCTTCCAGACCTTCTCCCGCACCCCGAAGATGACCACTGTTAAGGTGTTACTGCACGTTGCAACACGGCGCGACTACGAGCTGCACTCACTCGAGTTCCCCACAGCTTTCTTGCACGGGAGCCTTCACAAGGAGATCTGGCTGTGCCACCCACCTGGCTCCACTAGGTTGTTTCCTGAAGGTACCGAGTGGCGCTTCCAACGGCCAGTCTACGGTCTCCATCAGGTGCCCTGCGAGTGGCACGACACATTGAGGACGATGCTTGCGACTCTTGGTTTTGCTGCTTCGATTACTGACCCGTCGCTGTTTCTCCGCCCCGACTCTTCTATGCCGCTGTTCTACATCCTCGTGTACGTCGACGACTTGGTCTTTGCTACTGCTGACACTGAGGCACTGGCCCTTATGAAGGTGGAGCTGTAGAAGAGACACACCTGCACTGACGTGGGTGAGCTGCGCGACACACTGAGGACAATACTTGCGGCTCTTGGTTTTGCTCCTTCGATTACTGACCCGTCGCTGTTTCTCCACACCAACCCTTCTCTACCGCTGTTCTACATCCTCGTGTACGTCGACGACTTGGTCTTTGCTACTGCTGACACTGAGGCACTGGCGCTTATGAAGGCGGAGCTGTAGAAGAGACATACCTGTACTGACGTGGGTGAGCTGCGGTGCTACCTTGGCTTGCAGATCACCCCGAAGAGAGCAGCGCGCACCATCACTCTGAGTCAGTCACACATGGTGCAGTAGGTCCTTCAGCGCTTCCGCTTTCAACTCTCATCACCACATTCCACTTCTCTGCCTACAAACCACTCGCTCTCAGCTCCATCTTCGGATGAGTCCGTAGAGTTTTGTGGTCCCTATCCAGAGCTTGTGGGCTGCTTCATGTACCTGGCGATGCGCACTCGACCTGACCTCGCGTACCCTCTCAGCATCCTGGCGCGCTGCGTTGCGCCTGCGAGACACCGCCCCAATCACTACCGAGATGCTACGAGGGTACTGCGTTATTTGTGCTTGGAGCTTGTGCTTGGAGGGCGGGGCCCAGTCGCTCTAACAGGGCACTCAGAGCTGGTGCTTGGAGGGCGGGGCCCAGTCGTTCTAACAGGGCACTCAGACGCTTATTGGGCTGACAACCAGGCAACTCAGTGGTCGTCACGGGCTCTAGTTCTGTCTCGTGGAGGTCCACTCGCTCGTCTTCTGTGCCTATATCAAGGTTCAAAAATACGGTTTTCGTAACGTAATATTAAAAAAATACGTAATTTCCGTTTTTTTGTTGGAGAACTCTTGTCACCAAGCACAAAAATGGCAAAAACAAGGTCGGAAATTTTAAATCATGCCCACACATGCACAGATGCAAAAGGGGGATCGTCCTCTTCATCCTAGTAATTTTCGACATCAATTTGGTCCCGTATAATGGCTGATTTTTTTCTTCAAACAAAAATCACCTTCTGTAACCGCTATTTACCGTATTTTTACGAGCGTTTATTACTCTACCATTTTTAACGGTAATTTTTTCAAAAAAACTGTCATTTTTTTTAAACCTTGGCCTAGATCTAGCAGTGAGGCCGAGATCTACGCTGGGGCTATGGCTGCGTAGGAGTTACGCTGGCTGACCTACTTGCTGTTGGGTAAGCGGCCTCGTTCTTCTCCAGTTCTTTACGTCGACAACGAGGCCATGATTGTCTTGCGTCGGGAGCAGAGACTGGAGCACAGAACAAAGCACATTGCTCTTCGTTAGTTTCTCACACGAGAGTTACTGCAGCGTGGTCAGCTTCGCCTTGCTTACGTGGCCGCACATGCCAATACTGCTGATATCTTCACCAAGGCCATCGGGTTTGGTGATCATCAGCGTTTTTGCACTGCTCTTGGGCTTCTGCCCACTCTGCCTCACCCGCTTGTTTCTTGATCTCGCCTTGCGCTTGTTGTATACAGCTAATATATTTTGTACCTGCATGTGTTGGTTATGATTAATCTACTGCTTTTGCTATTATTACTCTGCATGTGAACTAGCCTTGTGGCCACTTGCTTGTGCTCGGACTGTGTGGTGATCTTGAGATCCACCCTGAGCTTTGCTTTGCTTCTTTGCGTGACTGGTCTTGTGACTGTTGGTTTTTCTTGTTGTTTAGGCTGTGTTGGGGTAGCCCATAAAGGGTACAGCCCATTAGGGTTAGCACTTGTACTTCTCATTACTGTTAGTCAATCATTCCGCTGCTTACAACTCTAACGCTCTCTTCTAGAAGGTTCGGCTTGATTACACCAGCCTTGCAGCGCATGACTCTGTGATTAGGCCGCAAGGCAATTTATGAGTCAGCGCTGGCTGGTTCGATGGTTATGGACTCTTTTGTACAGTGGGAAACCGAATCGCGGCCGTTTTCACGCGGTTTTTCATACACGAACCCACGTGAACAACATTCGGATGTGTTCTATTTTTTGCTACTACAGGTGGGTCTAAGGAGTGCGGGAAAACGTACGAGAGCCCTGAGGCTGGGGGCGTGGTATGCTGCAGCGGAGATGTGCAGTGCATTGCAGTAGATGAGCGCCATCAGCCTTGTCCACACCTTGTGGCACTGCAAGAGGGGGGAGGAAAGGGGAATGGGGAGCAGTTGGGAAGAATTCCGCAAGGTGGGGTAAGGCGGGACTGGTGGGTCTGTGGAGAGTCACTCTACAACGGTAGTGAGCTAGACTACGGGAGCTAGACTAGAGGTGATCGTAGCTTTGCTTAGTTCCTTAGTGCTTGCACATTCACGGGAGAAATCGGCAAGAGTTTCCACTAGGCAAAATCGAAATTACAAAATAGTTGAACAAGCAATGACAACAAATGACTACATCAGGCACCTAGCAACTCTGCAGCACAGCTTGGTCGACCGCCTGCCAGCGTTGCGTAGAGGAGTGGCGCCAGGACTACAGAAAGGCGACCTGCCAACAGAGCAGGTCGACGGCGTGCCAACGCTGCAGCAGAGCGGCTGTTCAGCGTTGCCCCGTAGAAGACAACAGTGTGCACGCTCGCAGGTGCGCGCAGACGATTGGCCCGACTTGCCTCGTTGGGCATCCGTCGGCTGTTGTCTGTGCCTGACAAGCCACATCGACTTCGGGATACCAGCCCGAAGTCGCCTGTGCCATCGCGACCTCGACGGCGTTCTCGTGCCTCCGCAGAACTCGTCGAGCAGGTTACCCGGTCGACCTGGTCGACCACTAGGTGCTTCCGGTCGACCACCACTGCCTCTGGTCGACGCCCTCCGG